AAAAATGGTGATATCGATGTGCAACAAATCCGTTCAAGTGACAATCAGATAGATTTATTCACTAAATCTTTACCAACTTCAACTTTTGAGAAGATGGTATACAAGATTGGAATACAGAGACTCAAATATTTGAATTTTCATCAGGGGTATAAAATATGCGTTGTATTATTTTTCCCTTATTAAGGTTTTTCCCACATGATTTTCCTTATAAGGTTTTTAATGAGGCAGATAGCAATGCATATTATTAAATTGTGTACTAATTTTCCTTCACTAGGATTTTTTTCCACGAGATTTTTCTTAGTAAGGTTTTAATGAGGTACACTATCTTTTTAATGAACATACACGGGGGAGTGTTATAAATATATTATATTATGGATATCCATTTAGTACTCCGTTGTAAATAAATTTTCTAAAGAAGCTTATCCATATTAGACTCCGCCGTAAATATATTTATCTATTTATTACTCTACTGGAAATAAGCCTCCTGAAGAAGCTTATCATTTTGGTACTCCGTTATGGATAAATATTACCTTCGGTATAAGATTATCTATAGTTGGTATAATAACAGCTTACAAGAAGCTTAACAACAACTTGCAGTAGAAGCTTACAAGCAGCTTATACAACAGCTTGCAGTAGCAACTTACACAACAGCTTGCAGTAGCAGCTTATGCAACAACTTCCACAGTAACTTCCTTTCTTCTATAAATAGAGGAGATTTAAGTTCATTATGTATGCCAGTTTGAAGTTGAATAATATATCAATCTCTCTCTATATTTATCTTCGGTTTATTTACTTTACAGTTTTTATTTTATAACATTTTTTGTTTATTTCAAATCTCACATTGTCCAAAAGCATTCTAATTAACATAAACTCAAAAGGGTATAATAGTCAATTCAATTGTCATTTCCACAACAATTGAATGTTGTACTAGGGGTATCAATGGTTCAGTTCGGTTGGCTATTTTATAAAATTTATACCATACCTATTTTTTGGGGTTTTCACTTTATATAACCAAAATTAGACTATTTGGAATAATCCCAATCATCTCGGTTTCTCTTCGGTATTGGTACGATTCGATTAATTTTTGGGAATTTCCTTTACAATATTATTGTAATGACCCGACCGATCGTTTTGAGTATTTTAGCCCCGATTCCCTGATTTATGCTCCCTATATGTTATATTGTGGTTATGTGACTTGACGGGGTGCTTGGTGTCAGGTTCGAGAGAGTTTCGTAGTGATATGGGACACATAGTCCCTAAGTTGGAAATTTAAGTCGTAGGAGTTGATCGTAGTTTGACTTGTGTGAAGATGACTCCGGAATGGAGTTTTGATGGTTCCAATAGCTTCGTATGGTGATTTTGATTTTAGGGGCATGTTCGAATGTTGATTTGGAGGTCCGTAGGTCGTTTTGGCACGATTTGGCGAAACTTGGAAATTGAAGATTTTTTGGAAAGTTTGACCATGAGTTGACTTTATTGATATCGGGGTCAGATCCTGATTCCAGAAGTTGGAATAGGCCGTAATGTCATTATTTAACTGTGGGATTCTTTAATTGAAATTTGCTATCCTTGGAGCTGTTGAGTTTGGTATTGAGTTGCAAAGGCCGTGGTTCTATTGAGGCAAGGTGTAAGTTGTGAAATATCATTTATTGAGTTACTCTCTGGTTGCTATTGTTGAGACTTTGTGTACCTTGTGGTAGAGATGTGGGCTTCTCATTGTGAAATTTTGTTATTGTTGGCTTTTTCTAGCAAGTGTGATATTGGTCACTTAAGGTTTGCACGAGGTTTTCTGCCGTGCTATTATTACTATTGATACGCATGCGATGGTATAAGGTCTGTGTGTTGAAACGCATGCGGTGAGATAAGGTGGGATTGATACGCGTGGTTAGTAAGGAAACTACTAGAAGCCATGTGGTGTGATAAGGTGGGCTAAAACGCGGGGTGCTATTTCGGAAAAATAATTTTTAAAACTAAATGTAAAGGCTCCCGCGGTGGTATAAGAAAAAGACCGTGAGTTACTTTTATAATTCGAGATTATGAGGTGGTACCTCGGTAGTGGCCCTTGTTGATCTTTCTTTAATTGTTGTATTTGCCTTGGTTGTTTGTTTCCTTAACGTGTAAATCCTTGTTTTCTTCCGTGTTGTATTAACTATCTTGGTTCCGTGTTGTTAGCTTTCCATAAATTCCTTATTTGTTTTATTTCCTTTGTCATTATCATTATATCGCTATATTTTTCGTCTTGTTTCTTATTATCTCCAGTAAGGCATTGACCTGAACTCGTCACTACTCTACCGAGGTTAGGCTTGATACTTACTGAGTACCATTATGGTGTACTCATACTACGCTTCTGCATATGCTTTTGTGCAGATTCAGGTACATCTTACCAGTCCCGACACTAGTGCGCTAAGTTGCATTTGGAGACTTCAAGGTACACCTACCCGTGTTCGCAGGCCTCGGAGTCCCCTTCTATCTTGTTCTTCTTTGTTTCATTTCACTTTTATAGACAGTGATGTATAGGATTGTTCAGCATTGTACTTAGAGCTTGTGACTTATATCTCACTAGGTTTTGGGGAGGTGTACATATTGGGTTTACAGATTTTATTTATGAATTTGTTGGAGTTTTGAAATTCTAAGAGTTTATTTAATATTTTTCCATGTTGTTAGGCTTACCTAGTCTTAGATACTAAGTACTAAGACTAGGTGCCGTCACGACATCCTACAGAGGGAATTTGGAGTCGTGACAGTCATGTAACAATCGCTAGTAGAAGTTAGAATGCGATAAATGTGTACTTGCATAGGACTTTGGAAAAACTCTCTAGATGTTTTTACTATTTAAAAAAGTGATGAATCAAGATGTCCATAATAAAGATTCATCCCACTATTCTATGGTAGCATAAAATAAATTAAGCAAAAATAAGATAAATATAAGTTAGTGAAAAAATACTAATCAAGTTGGTACTCAAGAATAGAGTTTATTAGAAGATTAACATCCAACAAGAGAAATCTAAATTATAATAGAGAAAAGATATCCAATACCTTGTGGCTTGCTACTCAAGATGTTAGAACTAATTTAGTTTCAATAAGCTGAACAAATTTAAATTGAGACTTTGGGTGTTAATTACTTGGTCACTTATAGCCATTTCCATAATTTCAAAGCCCAAAGGAATTTTTTTAGAAGAAATGGCGTGGGATAACTATTTTTTAACATGGTATTTAGTTTTTATCCAGTATTTTTAATGTTGAGCACAAATAGCTACTACTCTATTAAAATTAATACGAAAAGATGTTGTTACCCTTTCTTCATGAGTGTTGTGTAAATATTAATGACATAGTGTCCTTAACATTTACACTGCACACATGAAGTTAAGGATGCCGTGTCCTTAATATTTACACTACACATATGAAGTTAAGGACATCATGCCCTTAATATTTACACAACACTCATAAAGTTAAGGACATTATGTCCTTAACATTTACACTATATATATGAAGTTAAGGACATGAGATCCTAAAGTTTAACAACAGAAGGTGCAAGTACAAGTTAAGGACATTATGTCCTTAACATTTACACTGCACACATGAAGTTAAGGACGTCGTGTCCTTAACATTTACACAGAACATATGAAGTTAAGGACATGATGTCCTAAAGTTTAACAACGGAATGTGCAAATACAAGACACTTTGTCCTTAATATTTACACAGTATTTATGAAGTTAAGGACATCATGTCCTTAATATTTACACAACACTCATAAAGTTAAGGACACTATGTCCTTAACATTTACACTGCACACATGAAGTTAAGGACACCATGTCCTTAATATTTACACTATACATATGAAGTTAAGGACATGAGGTCGTAAAGTTTAACAACAGAAGGTGCAAATACAAGTTAAGGATATTATGTCCTTAACATTTACACTGCACACATGAAGTTAAGCACGTCGTGTCCTTAACATTTACACTGAACATTTGAAGTTAAGGACATGATGTTCTAAAGTTTAACAACGGAATGTGCAAATACAAGACACTTTGTCCTTAATATTTACATAGTATTTATGAAGTTAAGGACATCATGTCCTTTATATTTACAGAGCACTCATAAAGTTAAGGACATTATATCCTTAACATTTACACTGCACACATGAAGTTAAGGACACCATGTCCTTAACATTTACACTACACATATGAAGTTTAAGGACATGAGGTCCTAAAGTTTTACAACAGAAAGTGCAAATACAAGTTAAGGACATTATGTCCTTAACATTTACACTACACATATGAAGTTTAAGGACATGAGGTCCTAAAGTTTTACAACAGAAAGTGCAAATACAAGTTAAGGACATTATGTCCTTAACATTTACACTACACACATGAAGTTAAGGACGCCGTGTCCTTAACATTTACACTGAACATATGAAGTTAAGGATATGATGTCCTAAAGTTTAACAACGAAAGGTGAAAATACAAGACAATTTGTCCTTAATATTTACACAGTATTTATGAAGTTAAGGACATCATGTCCTTAATATTTACACAACACTCATAAAGTTAAGGACACTATGTCCTTAATATTTATATTATACATATGAAGTTAAGGACATGAGATCCTAAAGTTTAACAACAGAAGGTGCAAATACCAGTTAAGGACATTATGTCCTTAACATTTACACTGCACACATGAAGTTAAGGACGCCGTGTCCTTAACATTTATACTGAACATATGAAGTTAAGGACATGATGTCCTAAAGTTTAACAACGGAATGTGCAAATACAAGACACCTTGTCCTTAATATTTACACAGTATTTATGAAGTTAAGGACATCATGTCCTTAATATTTACACAACACTCATAAAGTTAAGGACACTATGTCCTTAACATTTATACTGCACTCATGAAGTTAAGGACACCATGACCTTAATATTTACACTACACATATGAAGTTAAGGACATGAGGTCGTAAAGTTTAACAACAGAAGGTGCAAATACAAGTTAAGGANGGTGAATTGCCATTTCCATAATTCAGAAGAATTTCTGAGTTTTTGAAGTTCTAAAACCCCTTCAGGTGCGTTTAGTTTTGTTGATTAAATTGATTTGGGTTTCTCTGTTTCTTTTCAATCTTAAATCCGATATTGATTTTTCTCTTCCTACACGCCGGAAAACATGGATGTTGTTGATTTGATATTTTGCTATCATTGTTTTCCAGAAGAAGAGTTAGGTATGTATATACGCATATAGGTCTCTGTGTCTGTGTGTGTGTGTGTTTGTTTATACTGAAGCTTTCACAAAAAAATCTAACTTTTTGACTAATTCCATGTATCTGTTCAATCTAGATAGTAAGACAAAAGTTTTTTTGATTTCTGTAACCTGTTATTCGGATCAAAACGTGGGTTCAGTATAGCTATATATAGATATGAACAATTCAAAGCTAAAAAGAAAAAAAAAATACTGACTTCTTCATCAAATTTTGGTGTTGCTGTTTAATATTCGAAATCAGGTGCAAGGTTTTAATTGACTGGAGCTGGGCTAATCGGCAAAAAATGGGAGTACCAGCATTTTATAGGTGGTTGGCTGATCGATACCCGCTATCGATTGTGGACGTGGTAGAGGAAGAGCCTAAAGAGGACAGTCATGGGCTGTTTGTTCCAGTGGATGTTTCAAAGCCGAACCCTAATGGCATGGAATTTGATAACATGTACTTGGACATGAATGGTATCATTCACCCTTGTTTTCATCCCGAGGGAAAGGTGAATGAGTGTTTTCTTTTGAAAGTGTTTTCCAATCAAATTACGTGGTATTTGGTATACTTAATTCGTATAAGCTCTTGCACAAAGCATGTGAGAATTTGTTTTACTAGTTGCTTGGGAAATAGTTTATTTGCACTTATACGGCTTACTATGTTAAAGGGATGTTTTATTTTCTGTGACTGTATTTTTAGGGGAAACATGCATGCATCATGATATGCAGTTCACAATAGGTAATTTATTTAACTTACTCATAGCTGCTAACTGAAGATGATGATTGGCTGTGAAGCATGCATAGGAGGAGATTGACTTCCTCTGAGTTGGTCTAGCAGGAAAGCGAAGGAACCACTGGTTATATGGCAAGAGATAATATTTCTTGTGCAATTCAATCCATTGCTTCTTTCTTTAGAAAGATTTGCTTGATGCATGTACCTCCAAACTAATGCCGCATCTATTATAAAAAAATGTGAATCCCAAGTGCATCACAAAATAATATATTATTTGGACAGCTACCCTAGTCATGTCCTGTTTGTATGTTTATGTAGATCCATGTACAGTCTACTAAACCTGCCGTTGCAAGCACACTCTTCTTGTAATATACTTCCCATAATTAATTAAGACCCTTTAATAGATTAAACTTTGGACCAGTAAATTGGCAGTCCAGATTTAGTTTTTTATCTCCAGCCTAAATATGTATGGTTTAGGATAGGATAAATAGCAAAACAGCCTTCTTGTTTCCTCTTTCCTTTTATAGGCCTTTCATTGTTATTGGAAGATTATGGGCAAACACTGCTCAAATACAAAGGGCCATACTTTAAGAATTTTCCTTATAATTGTAGGCTGTCATAATTCAGCACTCTTTCATTCTTTTAGTTGGAAATTATCCTTGTTGAAATTCTTTATATGTGCTTTAAAGAGTATGAATTATGTGCTTGGCATGAACGGAATGAATGGAAGGCTCAAGCTTTGCATGGTTAGTTCAATTTGAGAGAGAAAGAGAGAAGAACTTTGTTTGATAAATAAAATCAATGAAGCAGAATATGGGGAACCAAGGTTGAAATGCTAGCAGAAACGAAGAAACGCTAGGTGATATTTAACATTTACTTAGTATCTGTAGTGTCACCAGATAATTGTGCTGGTAGGTAGGTACCTGGATATTCATTGTATGTAGTTTGGCGATTCCATAATGGAAAATAATACGAGTAACTGGGAATATGTTAAATTGAAAGTGATGCGTTTTGTTCAAATCGACAACAAAACCCCAACTTTCTTTACCTGAAATCCCTACACGATTATACCAAAAAAAATTGCTAGAGGCAATAACATGACTCTTCTTGCACTCAGGCTTTGCTCTGACTACTGTTTACCAACTTCAGAGTAATAGTTATTTTCCATTTGCCAAAAGTAATTATCGAAGGAGGTCACAACTCACAAGAAGGTCAATAATGAGAGAGAAAGAAGGTAAGATCAGAGACGAGTGAATATGGAGATAGAGAGAAAATCATTATGGAGAAATCGAAGATAACTTATGGATGGAAGTATAGAGAAACCCAGAGGGAGAAACAGATTGAGTGAAAAGTGAGCCACTGTATGGCTACTGCTGAATAGGGAAGGCAGGGAATGAGCGTTAGAATTACTCACATCATATGTGCAAGAGGCAAACACTAACATGTTAAGGAAATCAAAAAGCTTGTATTGGTGGGGCCCTATCGGTTCGGGCAACTCAGTGATCATGATCGGCTCCATGCATGCTTGAGATCTTGAGTCATTTACACCTCTAATGTGAATTTTGTAAACTATGGGTACTAAAGTTTTGTATCTTTTTCAGAGAATATGATGAAAGTTTCATGCTTTTGCGTTTATAGCTGGAAATTAGGATACTGCTGTATTTTGTAAATATTTGAGGCATACTGGGAGTTCTTAGAATGAGTGAATGTGGACCTTAGTGAGGAGAGATGTCTTGTAGTTACGGGTTTAGCCGTTTGGGGAGCAAAAACTGCTACTACTATTTCTGTAGGCAAGACCAGATTGGCTAGGTACTTTGCAAATATTCTTTTCTTTAATTTTATGCACATAGCAGGGTGTTAGTGCACTGTGATGCCCTTTTTATCAAAGATAAGTTAATGTAGACAAGTCGACAAAGAAACCCAATTTTTTATTGGCGGATGGCATTTGACCTTTCTCGACCTTTCTCTGGCGGATGAAAAAGAAGGATTTTAGCTTAAGAAGGTTTTGGAATTTAAGTCCTGTAAAAAATTGGTTTCGGAATCAGATATGATTCCAGTCAACTGTGCACAATTACCAGATGGAAGATGGATGGCGTATTTGATAATATAACAGTACGGGTTATTTATAATGTCGCAGATGTTGTATAGATGGATGACTGGGGGTGTTGAGGTACTGTCCCCTCTTAAACCCCCNTTTCCTTTTTGTTTCAAATAGTTGGGTTAAACTGTACAATGATTGGTTACTAAGTAAAATTATTACTGTTATTATATTATGATATTAAGCTTTATCGGTCACATCTGAGATGCATATTTACAGTTTAGTTGTGTTATAGTTACTGTTACATAATAAACAAAGCTTATTTTCTTAACACAAAGATCTAACGAGGTACTAAATGACTGATTAGTGACTTGTGATGACCAACTATTGAAGCAGTAGAGAACTTTGCAATTAATATAGGAGTAATATGAGATTTTGCTTCCATCTTAATCATAACATGCATAATTTGGAAGTTACTTGGTGCAACTCTGTGATGTTAGGACCTTTAACCGCTACATGTGCAGCTTTGGGAGTTTGCGAGGTGGTGGGGTATGATGAACTCAAACCTATGAGATAGTACATTTGGATTCTGTAGTGACACTCATAAACCGAGGATACTAAAATGGTCTAAATATGAAATGAACAATTAAATATAAGAGACTCGAGAGTTTTGTAATAAAAGAAGCGACGGGAGCCTCTTCTCATAGTAGTTAAATACATAGGAAGCAACCTTCCCAAAAACCTCTCTCTCTCAGTACTTTCTTGGTACAGAATTTGTTATTAATAATACCTTTTACTTATCAAAAAAGCTTCCCAAAAAAGACTCACTTAAGTAAGATACCAAAAAAGGTAAAAGATAAAAAAAAGAAATTTCATTTTCTAGTTGCAAGATACAGAATATGGAGCTTCCAAAATCAAGACATCCTATAATTTATGTTAGAAGATTAATAAGCTGCTTCAGTGAACCTGGATTCAAGGATATGCTGCACACTGCTTGTACCTGATAAGAACCAATAATGTTTGCGGCAGATTGAGCAGCTTAAAATTATTAATTATTGTGAAATCATACAGTGGGACTGGGACAAAAGTTTGCTGGAATTGCAATAAAGACGAGACTGGATCTTAAATGAGAATCAGCAGCAAAGTTATAGTGAAACTTATCCTGAATTGCATAAAGACAGAGATAGGATGGAGGAATTTAAGACATTTACTTGGTCATTTGTACATGAGAGCCGTAAACCAATGACCATTCACAGATTGGCAGAGTTTCTGCATTGAGTTATTTATGTGGCATTTACCTAAACAAGTAGTATTTGATGAATCTAATAAAGGATGTGTCTATATGATGATGAATCTTGTCATTTGATGCTTGAAATGGGCAAACTTAGATCCGCAATAGCAAAAGAATGCAAGATATCCAATCAATGTACTTTATAGATTGGTCATTACTACCTTGAAATATGGAGTTAGCTTAGCTACCTCAATAGACGTTCTGATCCCAACTAGGATTCTGATAATTTGTTGCAATTACTTGGTATATCTCCCCGTTTCTCTAGTGTTTTTCCTATAGTTAGGTACTACCTTTATATCAGAGTTTTCTTCTCCACCTTGCAGGCTGCACCAGCAACTTACAATGACGTATTCAAATCAATTTTTGACTACATTGACCATCTTTTCTCATTAGTCCGTCCAAGAAAACTCCTCTATATGGCTATTGGTAAGTTCTGGCTACTGATGTTGCATATCTTTTTACTTCAATGTTTAAAGTCTTAACTTCACTATCTGTTTCTTAGATGGAGTGGCTCCTAGAGCTAAGATGAACCAGCAGCGAACCAGGCGTTTTAGAGCCGCTAAAGATGCCGCTGAAGCTGTATAATTTTTCCTTTGTCTATGTGGTTTAACACGGTAGAATTATGCATCTCATTCAATTTTTTATGACAGGAAGCTGAAGAAAAAAGGTTGAGGGAAGAGTTTGAGATGGAGGCTGCTAGTTTATTGCCTACAGGAAAGCCTGAGACATCTGATTCAAATGTTATTACTCCTGGTACTCCATTTATGGCAGTACTAGCAGTAGCTCTTCAGTATTATATACACTCGAGGTTGAATAAAAATGCAGGCTGGCGGTTTACCAAGGTTGTTCCAGTATAATCTACTAAAGTCATCTTACTTTAGTACAATCTTTTAAGATTTAAGGATTCCTTCTGTGGAGTAATCCGTTCTGGTTATTTTTTAATGCAATTCTGATTTTCAGGATACCCTTTCTCTCCTAACTTATTTATTCGGCTGCATTGGGTGATTATTTGAAGGTTATCCTTTCTGATGCTAATGTTCCTGGTGAGGGTGAGCACAAAATTATGTCCTACATCCGCTTGCAACGTAACCTTCCTGGCTTCGACCCAAATACCCGTCATTGTCTTTATGGCCTAGTGAGTGAAAGAGTTACACTATTGTTTAATAACATCTTAAATTCTTTTAATCCTTTTTTTTTTGTTGATAAGAAATTTATATGTCCTTTACCTATCCGAAAAAAGAAAAAAGAAAGAAAGAAAGAAAGAAATTGATATGTCTTTGACAGAATATGGGTTGTTCAACCTTGCTATTTTCCTTTCAACAGTGTTCCTGGATTTCTGTTGCGTTTATCTTGATTATCTCATGTCTTAATTTCTTCATGATTATCCAATTTGTTGTTTAGGATGCAGATCTGATTATGCTGTCTCTTGCTACTCATGAAGTCCATTTTTCAATATTGAGGGAGGTCAGTAACTACTACTATCCAGTGGCTGTGTCATCAAATTAATTCGTTCTCGAAAACTGAAAGTCTGATCTTCTCTACAGGTGATTACACCACCAGGTCAGCAGGAGAAGTGTTTTGCCTGTGGTCAGGTTGGACATCTTGCAGCTGATTGTCGCGGTACAAACGGAAACCAAGGCGAAAATGGAAAGGGTGTGAATGAAACACCTTTTCACAAGAAGAAATATCAGGTTCAAATTTGCTTCCTTTTTTTTTGAGTTCCAATTTCAAGTTTCGTTTATCATCTAATATTTTGGTCCATCTTGTTGTTGCCTCTTTGCCCCATTCGCAGTTTCTCAACATCTGGGTGTTGCGAGAGTATCTGCAATATGATTTGGAGATTTACAACCCTCCATTTCGGATAGACTTTGAAAGGGTGGTGGATGATTTTGTTTTTTTGTGTTTTTTTGTTGGAAACGATTTTCTTCCCCATATGCCAACACTGGAAATTCGAGAGGTATGCAGCAATCCTGATGTAGACATTTTCATCTTGATTGTTATATCTCTGGTAATAATGAGCTTTTCTATATGGATATTCTACTCTGATGGTTAAACAATCTTGGGCATACCATAATTCTTTTTCAGTCCAATGGCATTGCAACTGCTATTCCTTCCTTCTCTCCAACTGTTATGCAGCTGCTGATCATTCTGCTTATTCAGTTAATGATTTAATCCTGTATACTTTTGTAGGGTGCCGTCAATCTGCTGATGTTCATTTATAGAAGAGAGTTTACAACAATGGGTGGTTATCTTACAGATGCGGGTGAGGTAATTTGCTTTTCGACAATGCAACACTTCAAATTTCTCACAAGGATTCAAGCTATATGTGATATACTGTAGCATGCTTGAATAATATAGATGTTTTAATTGTTCTATCAGATGAAACTTTTATCTTGTTATATCTACAATTCTAATGCAAGTACTGACTGCTAGTTCGTTTATTTCGGGTAATTTGGTTAATTTTATTCTCTGATGGTCATGAGTATTATCCGCATTCCTTTGCAAAGCGTATATTGGTAATATGTTGTATCTCTGCAGTGTCAAATGTCCAAGGTTTACTAGCTAATGTAATACCTGGGGAACAAGAAACTTAGGTTACTTTAGGGGCCATTAAGACTTCTAGAGACCATTAGACCTTTTTATATGCAAGAGCAGGTGGTTATGTTCCGAAAAAACAGGTTTGCTCTGTGTTAGAGGTGGAATTTCAAAGAACAACTGTGTTAGAACCAACACAACCAACACCATAAGTTCCCCAAACTCCCGGCGACCAAACCCTACCAAACACCTCCGACAACTGACTTCTCACGCGCCGCCACGCGCCGTTCAGTGTGATTTTCGTCCGGCGAGATCTACTCCACGCGCCGGCGCGTGGAGCCATTTCCGGCCACCTTTTTAAACACTTTATTCAGAACAGTTGTACCGCCTTCCAATTCCGAGACTATCTGTAATTTTCTTTTCTAATTCCGAGTACTTTGAAAATATTCCGGCATCTACAGTAGTTCTCCAGCATCTACAAGTTATTTCCGGCAGATATATAGTGTTTTCCCGGCAACTAGAGCTGATTTCTAATTTGCTAGACCTCTTTATATATCTCGTCCTATTGTTCTTACATGGAACATAAGATTTATTTCAGGTCAGGGGGGAAAGTTTTTGACATTCAAGCGTACAATGAAGGTGCTGAAAGTTGGTTTGAATTGGTGGAAAGTAATAAGTATGCCAAACGAAAGATGATGTTAAGCAGGAAACTATCTTTGTGGGTCTGTCACACTCTCAAAGAAGCCTCTATGTATAGGGGAAGGATCTTTAAGTCATGGAAGAGTAGGGACCATATCACAGACATATATGGCTCTCTTAAACATAATAGATTTGGCAGGTTTATATGCTTAATTTCAGTACAGGGTCACAGAAGAGCAGTCATTGTTCTACCAGAGAATGTTCCATATGCAGGGTGGTACGAAAATGCTAGGAATATTGAGAATCTCATTAATAGTACTCCATCGGTCACAAAGGTTCCTTACAGGTGGAATCTACAGAAACTATCTGGAGAAGAATCATACAAAGAGGCACTAGATAAGAGCAAATGGAGAACAAATGAAGCGTGTCTCCAAACAGCGACTTCTTCAAACAATTTGATCAGAATAACTGGTGGCAAATCTTTGGATGAATCTGAAATGCTGCAAAGATGCTTGGTGGGTAGTTTTGCTGGTCATGCTGAGCCTCCGACAAGAAATGATGTTCGTAGATGGGCCACTCAAACCTGGAAGGTTGCTCATGGTTTTAACGTATATGACATGAATGGAGTTCAATTCCTCTTTGAATTCCCCTCAAGGAAATTGGCGGAACACGTTCTGGTGGGTCGTTGGCAAAGACAGAACAGTAAACTCAGGCTGGAGTCCATCGGCGGGGTGCTTTCCAACGGCAAAAAAATTTGACTGGACTTGGATTAGAGTCTTGGGCCTTCTTCTACAACTATGGAACAAGAAGGTGATGACAATAATCGGCGATAAATGTGGGGGGTGGTTGGAAACAAAGGAGGAGACTGATCTCAGAAACCACTTGAGATGGGCACAGTTAAAGGTTAAAGGACCACCGGAATTAATTCCTGCTAAGGTTGAGATCGAATACGAAGGCTTGATTTTTACAATCCCGGTATAGAGTGAAACTCCGGTGTTCTTCCGGCATTCGGAGGAGGTGGTTAGTCTATACGGGGTAGGGGAGATTAGGAGGGTAGAAGAGAAGGACAGTGATGGGACAAAAGTAGGCGGGGGAACAATCGAGGCTGTCGAATCTTATAATCCAGCGGTTATAAGGGGTAGTGGTTCGGATAGTGTCCCTCTAGGGGTAATCAATGGTGTTAAGGGTGCTTTTAAACATGTTGGGTCGGGACGAACAAAAGGAAAAGGGATGGAGCTTTGTCAGATTGTGGAAAATGGGCCCAATCCTGTATGTGAATCACATGAGAGGCATGTAGGAGTAAAGGGTTTTGTTGGGCTAGCTGAAGATGGGCCTAATGAGAATCAAATCAAGGAAGGAGAAATGGGCTATTTTAAGCCCAATCCAATCATCACAAATCAAGACAACCCTGAACCTTTAAACTTAAATGCTGCGGGAGGAGATCTCGAAAGTTTTCTTGCACAAATAAAAGCTCTGGTGGCAGAAACAATCCGTGAAGAACAACAGAAAATGGAGGATCGCATCTCGACTCAGGAACAAACTCTTCTCTCTTTCAAACAATCTGCAAACCAGACCCTCAACACAACACCATCCACAGTGGGAGAGGAACATGATAGATCAGTTGGGAAGAACCTAGACTCTCATCTTCCTCTTGTTAATTACATACAAGGTGACCCAGGGGATAAAGACGCCCATACAGTCTTTGTAGACTGTCTCTCTGAAGGCGAAGGCGTTACTGATGAATCAGACATGCAATTGGTCCAAAACCAACAGATCGATATAGCAGAACCAATTGAGGTGCACCCACAGACCTGTGATCTAGATGTTCCTGCATGGATCAAAAGAAACATTGGAAAGATGAGCAAAACATACGGTGTTAGCTTTGAAGGATGCGAATGGGAAGCTATGGCTCTATTTTTGAAGATAGACAGTAGGAAAAAGGAAATGAAAGCAATGATGCGATCAAAAAACAAAAGCACAATTGTTTCACCAAAATTAAAAGGAGTTTATGAGATGAAGAATCTGAAGGTTGGAGTGAAGTACAAAGATGGAATCCCAAGGAACAGAGGGAGGCAACTACCCATTAAAAGCTGATGAAGATACACATAATTTCCTGGAATGTAAGGGGTCTTAATTGGGTGGGGGGG